GAACTAAATAAATCTTTAGCGACGAAGATCGCAGTGGGGAATCAAGACACCGAGAGTTCTTTCCATCGCCAACAGCACTTCTCAACCGCGAGAAAAAAGGGTTGAGATGCTATTTCGATGGGCCAGTCCAACGAAGGCGTCTGCACCAATCTCTGAATCAACCTTAACCCTGTATTCCTTCTGATAGTTTCCCCACACCTATCCAAATCCGCACTAACTGTGAAATATGCCCATTCATTTACTTCTGCTTTGGGGGAGACATGTGTTCAACTTCTGGTTGAGGTGTTTGCTTTTTTTTGCTAGCCCCGGCTTTGCCCCGGCTCGGCGCAAAACCTCCCTCCAAAGAAGTTGGGCTGGGGGTTGGTGGCCGCATTGCCAGCATTACCGGTTTCTTGTCACGGCTGCGTGTGGGGCATGACTTGATGCTCGGGATAGCCGGCCGCATCGCCAGCATTACTGGCCTCACTCGGACGAGAGCTGCCTATTGGCTTTGGTTGGGTGGCGGTTCAGGGTTGATCGGGGCTGGGTGAGTGTTGGGCTTGCTGAGATATTAATGCGGGCGGGTCTTGGGTTTGTTTGCGGTTCATTTAGCCTCGGCAAAGGGCCGGTATGCAGGATGCGGTTGGGAGGGCTTCAGGTTCCACAGCCAATCCTAGCCCAAAACTTGCAGAACCACATCCCTGAAGCAACCGAAAGCCACAACTAAACCAGCCGCACGTCTAGCACGAATCAGCTCCAACCAAGCCAAAACCGAGCCAAAGTCAACCTGAAACCCTCCCAACCGCATTCTGCATATCGGCCCTTTTGCCAAGCTAAATGAACCCCAAACAAACCCAAGACCCGCCCGCATTAATATCTCAGCAAGCCCAACACTCACCCCAAACCAGCCCCGATCAACCCTGAACTGCCACCAAACCAAGCCCAATAGGCCAACCCAGCTGACCAACCAGACAGCCAACCAGCCAACCAGCCAACCAGCCAACCAACCAACCAACCAACCAACCAACCAACCAGTCTCCGAGCCGGTGTTAAGCCCCGAGCCGGGGCTAGTGAAAAAAACACCGGTTCCTTCAACTTCTTCAACACAAGGAAGAAAATGCCACTGACAACTAATTGACTACATACTTGAGGACAGATTGCTTGACCACTGTTTACATCCATAGCTCTTACCATGTAATTTGTTGTAAGCATTGTGTTTCAAACCATGGAGGGTTTTGAAAAGAGGAAGCGCGCCTCCAGTCAGATTGTTGGTAAATGATGAAAAGAATCTTGCAACGAATCTCTCTGAGCATGATGTTGCAACATGTTGGCTAAAGGGCTAACATCTGAACGGCGGCATGCCTCTTGGTAGGTGTTTGGGGGCTGGCTGGTATTCCTGGCTTGTCGGCTTATCGGCGTGTCTGCGTCCGCGCATCGAAGCAGCAGCGCAGCAACGTAGCCTCGCCTCAGCGTAGCGGCGGAACGGCGCATCAGCGCAGCAACGCGGCGGCGTGTACGGCGCGTCGGCGTGTCGACGTCATGCTTGGGTGGGCGGTCTGCTTGCTATGTAATTGGCGAACTTAGGCGATTTGCTAAGCCACCTGCAAGTGGCCTAGCTTGAGTTAGTAAGTCCGCTAAGTCTGACTTAGCGGACTAACTCAAGTTAGGCAACTTGCAAGTGGATTAATGTTACACCCGCTTTAATGAAAGTCGCCGCTATTGTACAAGTTTTGTAATTCAGGATCCTGAGACTGTTTTAGGGGCCCGCTATTGTTGCAAGTTTTTTCTCCTCCCCAAAAACAAATCCAAAAAAAGCACAGGCTCAGGTCGGGTTCAAGCTAGACTAAGCCTTAGCTGCTGTTGAGCTGGAGGCTGGTTCTGAGCTAGCCTGAGGTCTAGGAAATCCATTTTGCCAGTTGCGCCCAAGCCATCAAATTTATGATAACTTCTTTACAAAAAAGCAAGTCAATCACACAAAGGGGGTTACCCAACAACCAACCCTGATCCTCTTTAGTGTGATTGTTTTGGGGTCCTCTTTAGTGTTCAACTGGTTTTGGGAGCAAATCTCAAAAGGAAGCTCTACCAATACTAAATCAATTTGAAACTCAGTTCCACATCTCAAAAGGAAGCTCCAGCAACACTAAACCAATTTGAAACTCGGTTCCAAATCTCAGAAGGAAACTCCAGCAATAATAAATCAAATGAAAACTCAGTTCCGAATCTCAAAAGCAAGCTCCAGCAATACTAAATCAAATGGAAACTCAGTTCCAAATCTCAAAAGGAAGCTCCAGCAATACTAAATCACTCAGTTCCAAATCTCAAAAAAGAAGCTCCAAGCAATACTAACTGAAATGGAAACTCAGTTCCAGATCTCAAACGGAAGCTCCAGCAATACTAAATCAAATGGAAACTCAAGTCTACCAATACTAAATCAATTTGAAAGTCCCACCCAGACCCCCAGGGTTTGCCTAAACAGGTTCCATTGTTCAGGGGGGGGATCATATCAAAGCAGGTCCAACATTAGCATAGCAAGTAGGCCGCCCATCCTGGGGGCTCTATCGGCGTGGCAGCGTGTGGGGCAAATTGGCGTAGCGGGTAATCGGCCCTCGAGAACCATGAATATATTTCTTGAGGTCGCTGGGCGTCGCAAACGGTCGTGAAAAACGGCTATGGCCGTGAAACCGCAGCAGCGCCATAAATGGCAGTGAAAAAGCGTGAAATGGCCGTGACAGACGCCGTTAAAGGCCGTGAAAAACGTGTGAGTGGCCGTGAACAACGGGCCGGAACCGTGAAAAAGCAGTGGCCGTGAGAAAAGGCAATGGAAGACCCTGTGAAAAGTTGTTAAACGGCTGTCCATGGTGCATCACTAATACAGGATTCGCCCGTCCCGTCAAAAAATAGACAACGGGTGGATCAAAGCATGGGGAAGCGTTGATTCCGGCTGCGACGCGTCGGGCGCTCGCTGGCGAGCATTCATGACGCTCGTGTCAAGCTAGAGAAAGGCAGCCACACACGCAAACGCTGGCCACCGAGTAAACATCTCTAACAAGCAGCAAATTTCGAACCAGTGTCAGTGCTGTAAGTCCAAAACAAATCGCCTACCAAGCGACGTATTGCTAGGTTGCGGACTTCAGACTGCCCGGAAGAATGCGTAAAAAAGTTTTGCCTTGCAGCTTCACGAGGACCTGGCCAACTCATTTCGGTATATAGCCCCTCTTGTACCAAAGCAGCATAGTTTAGAAGCCGCCAAGGCGCGATCGCTGCGCCTGAGCTCACTATGCGAAAGTGCTGCTGCGTCTGCGCCCGGCCCTGAGAAAGCGCCGCGCGCGCAACATAACCTGCGCGAGCGCCGCGTCGAGAGCGCCTTAGCACGCGCTATCTCCGCGCAGGCTTCGGCGAGGTCAGGATAACTTCGCTACATCATTAGACGCCACAGCGAGAGCGCTTCGACAGGCTCTACCGCAGAGGGTTCGCCACGGCCGGGGCACAATCGCATGGCGCCACGGCACTTCGACACACGCGGTCTCCGTAGAGAGTTCGCCGCGACCAGGACAAACTCGCACAGCGCCACAGCGAGACGCCCCGACATGGACGACGAGTTCTATGCGCATTCGCCGCCACGGCAAGAGCGCTTGGCCACGCACGGTCGTTAAGCCCAAGACGCACGAACTCCGCAGAAGGTTTCCCGAGACCAAGATCAATCGCCGGCGCCACATGCAGCGAGAGCGCATGGCGCCGCAGCGACGGCGCCACAGAAAGGAAGAACTAAGACTCGAGAAGAGACGGTGGAGAAGACAAGCTGTGCTTTGGATAGAGGCAACCGCCCAAAAAGTTACCTGGCAGTTGTTTGCTTGCGCAATTGGGACGCCGACGCTCGCTACGAAAAGTCTTCGGTTCTTAGAAACTGGTGTCAGCTAGGAATACTTAGCTTGTGTTTTCAGGGTGATGAAGTAACGCTCGGACAGTTGGCAAGAGAAGTTGGCAGGTGAAGCTTGCAGCCGTTTGTCGGAGAACATGTGATCCCCAATTTGTCTGAAGCTTGTTCTAGGCCCAACTACCCAACACTAGAATTTCAGGAAAATCGCCCTGGCTTCAAGACCCACATTAACCCGTGCTCCAGCTGCCTCAGCGGGTTAACCTTTCTACAACCCCAGTAGCAGGCAAACTCTGTTTAGAAACCAGTCACGTTCCCAGCCCAACTTAACGCCAAATTCCGCAAAAAAACAATCAATCAACTTTTCCTGAACACATGCCCTAAGGCTGCCAGTCCACTGCCCTTCTGTAGCTCTCAGCTCACGCCAACTCACTCACTCAAACAAACCAACACGCAGCACCTCCAAGCCAGCCAAAAGTTTTCAAACTTTACATAGTTCCGGGTAAACGCTAATCCCTGAAACCCAACAAACAAGGCGAGTACTTGGGGAAGAAAAGAACAGTTGCTTAGCGTGCCCGGAATGATTTGTTGTAGCCCCCTCCCCAAACTCAAAGCTGCAATGCTACTCAATTAGAAACTTACAAATGGAAAGTCAATGTTTTTAACTAGTTCGATTTGGAAAATCAAGTCCAGCGTTACTAAAGTAAGGGGAGCATCAAATCTAGCAACACTACATCCACTGGAACCCAAACCCAGCAATACCAAACCCAACGGGGTTCAATTCCAGCAATACTATATCAAACGCAAACTCACACCCCTCTTGTCAAATCTCAAGGACTGGGGGTTGATCAAGTTCTGGTGGTTTGAAAGCCACGGTGTCCATTAGGCGGGCTCTTTGCACTAGATATCCCATGATATACCAGTGCGGCTTCTACATGAAGGAATTGCTGACCTGAGCGGGTCGTGGCGTACATCTTTGTTTGGACAAAACAAGTTGGGGTCATGACAGCTGTCTCCTTCCCCTTAATTTCCTCTCTCGCTTGAGGCTGACACTACTGGTTCCTGTTCAGCTTCGTGAGGGAAAACAAATGACCGACTAGGCTCGGCACCTTTCGAGCGGACTCGCAGCGCCGATCCGAAAAGACGCCTGCGTTGCGCTCAGCCGGCTCGGCATTCTGTTTTGAGAGCAAGTTCTCCACAGCCGCGGAAATGCCTGCGGTCGTTCTCATCTCAGGCCCCTCGTCAAACAAAAATGGGCCCAAGAAGTGGCAAGGGCTTGTTCTTCCCTTCCCAACTTGAAATTCGGCTGCGCTTTCAAGCAACCCTTCAAGCGCGCACCACACACCACTTGTCTGACCAAGGTGCGCCGGACAGTGCCCAGCTGGTACATGGCAGTACCCTTGAAGTTCGCGAGGCCAAACGCCTTCTTGATGGCCGAGCTCGCGCGTCCCATCAGCAGCGAGTCTTGGCCGCTTGTCTCGTTTGCCGAAAAACAGGGAGGCCCCCATGCAAGATTGCTTGCGAGGCGGAAAGGGAGGTCCTTGCGAGCCCGCAACCATGAACCTTTTTCTCTTTGTCACAGTTATTCGGTCATGTTGCCAAGCAGTAGTCACTAAATGAGTGCCAGCAAACGGGGGCTCAAGAATTATATGGGGAAAGAACTAGACGAACTTCGCGTTGCAAGCTCCAGATGAAACATCGCAACATATCGCAACTTCAGTCCAAGAGCAGTTGACAAAGTACAGTTTGGCAGCTCTATCAGCTGAAGTGTCGGCAAGCTTCACTGCGCGTGGCAGCCGACCTTGCCGCCGGCCAGTTGAGTCAAGCCGGACGTGTCTCCATGCTGGAGCACGACGCCAGCAAGGCGCGGATGAGTCTGAGACTCATCCGAGCAGCCTGCCACCTCAGGCCGGTCTGCCTCGTCTGCTCCGCGTGCGCCGGCAGAAACCGTGGTCTTCTCGCAGCGTCCTTCGTTGCGCCTCAGTGGTTCCAGTTGGCCATTGCTGGTCAGCCTCTGTGAAGGCGCTGAAAAAGTTCAGAACGTGACGCAGGTGCTTCTCTTTCATCTTGCCACGCTGCCTCAAGAGCTCGTGGTGCACCAAGTAGTTCTCCTCTCGCAACTGAAAGCTCTCGTCAATGTGTGCAATGAACAGCGTAGATGACGAAGCGATAGCGTGGGCGCGAAAGATTGTCCACAATGAGTTGCTCCAGTCTTCAACGCCTTGCCGTTGGATTCTTGAGCCGGTCATTGGCAGCTGCAATCCGGGTGGGCGCAGAAAAGGCAGAGCTGGCCACGCAACCCAAGCGGATCAGAGCTGTGTGCCCAATGGCTTTGGTAATGCCAAATTCTGCTTGCAGCCGCTGGAGAAGTTACGTGCCTGCCAACCATCCGAGCGATCCAAGAAAGAGCCGGCGCCTTAGCGGAAGGAGATGTGGCTGACAGCCTTTGCAAACGATCATTCAGCGCAGCCTGTTGGCGAAGCGCAGCTCGCTTTGCGGCGCAGCCCACTCCATAGAGGAAGTTGTGGCGCAGGCGCAGCAGGTTGGACGCAAGGCGCGCCCCAGGATGAGGAGCAAGGCCCATGTCAGCGAGAAGACATCGCTTCGCCGTGGCAGCAGGGACAAGAAACAAGGCCAGAAACAAGGCCAGATGGGCGGGCCCTCTTTTCAATTTATCGCCAAGCATCAGCCCTGCAAATTGCAGCGCGCCGATCTCGCAAGCGCCCCTGGAAGTCCTCGCAACTTGGCGGGTTGGACGAGGGAGCAGGCTGCTGCAGACCCTCTTCTATTACCCACGACAGACCCACAAAGGCGCGGAAGATTGCTGGCGCCAGGTTGGACCCATCCATCCAAACGAAGAACTGCTCTGCAGTCGCTGTTGGTGCAAAGAATGATCTTACTGCAAACAGTAAGTGTGATTGGCAACGTGGAAGCTGCCCAGGACCATGCTGAGCTGGGCCACGGACGAGGCAGCAGCAGCAGCAGCGCGGTCTGCACGCGCGGTTGACGGGCATAGCGAGCCACGGCGCAGGTGTTGTCGTAGAAGACGTACCGCCGGGTAATTGTCATCGCTTGTCAATGTGGGCAGCAAGGCGTAGAGCAGTGTCAAGGAATCAGCAGCATTGGCCATGAGCGTCTGCGCACAGATTGGCCGCAGGGATGGGGAACCAAGTCCTCTACTTGGATGGGCGGCCTACTTGCTATGTAATTGGCGATTTGCTAGGCCACTTGCAAGTTGCATAACTTGAGTTAAGTCCGCCAAGCCTGGCTTAGCGGACTTACAACCTGGCTAAGTCCACTTGGCGAGTTAGAGGACTTAGCTAAGCAGATGCTGAGCAGTTCTAAGTAGTTAGCTAAGTCCTCTAACTCGCCAAGTGGACTTAGCCAGGTTGTAAGTCCGCTAAGTCAGACTTAGCGGACTTACTAGCTCAAGTCAGGCAACTTGCAAGCGGCTTGGCAAGTCACTTCCCAACAACATAGCAAGTAGGCCGCCCATCCACCAGTTCAGAAGGGCCCGCGCCTTGAGGCTGCAGGCGCAGGCTCATTGGTGTCACAACTCTCCACACCCTCATCCGCAGCCAGAGGCTCAACAGCAGCTGCGCCACCCCTTCCGTGCGGTTCGCAGGCTCGACGGTGGCTCAGGAGGCCAGGCAAGCCAGTCTTGCGTAGCGCGCAGAGTATTCATGCAAAAGGCTGACTGGGACATCTGGCTCTTGGTTTAGGCCCAGTTCCGCACTGCTGCAGACGGCTCTTCTGAAGTTCCAGTTTTTTTCCGGAGCTTCTAGAAGCAAAAGTTGGCATTTCTAGCAGCGCCGTCTTGGAATCGGCAAAGCGCAACTAGCGACACTGCCTGGCGCTTGTGTAGTAAAACCAGGTTAAGTTTCACCCCGGCTCTACCTTGATTTAGCGAAATCATCTACATCGAGGCCACATCGAAGTTGAAGCTGTGGAAAAAACTTAAACCTGCGGGTTTCACCTGGTCGCTTTCGGTCGTGGATTTCCTTTGGCCGCGTCAGGCTCCTATTTGCCCGCACTCTGATGGAAACAAACACTCTGGACCCGTGCCTCAGCAACACTGGCAGCCAAAAACTCAGCAGCCCGCGCCGTTTTTATCGCGTGAGGCCAGCAAATTTGAGCGCAGGTCACGCGGGCCGGCCGCAGCTCCGTTCCCACGACGCGGTTCTGAGGGGGCGCCTGGCTACGCGCAGCGGCAGCAGGGCAGCCTGCGCGAGCAAGAAGAATGAAGAAGAGCGAGGTGTTGATGGGCCCGCGGAGTGGGGATGGTGTTTCTGTGCGCGTGCGCGGTTGCTGGCGCAACCGCAACCAGCTTACAATTTCAAGGTAATATTACATTTTTCAAGCGCTAAAGTGGGGGGGGAGGGCACTTCAAGGAAATCATGAGAAATATGTCGAATCCCTTGTGTCAAGGGGGAAGAAAAAGTAACTTTCTGCGCGCCCAGCGTCAAGATTTTTCTCGCAATATACGGAAACACACCACCTTACCATTTTCTTTTTTTGGGGGCTGGGTTCGAGGCCCAGCTGGAGGGCGCAAGACTTGGGCCTGCGGTGTCGTGTTTCATCCCCCGTCTGAAAATGAAATTTGCGGCCAGGCGCCCTAACAAAGCCATGACCTACAAAAAGAAAGGCGCGCCGCCGGCACCCGCAGTCGCGCCAGGTGGCCCGTGAAGGAAACTGTTCCCACGTACAACAGTGGGACGCCAGGAGGCTCAAACTTCCGCCTCCAACAGCAACATTGTCAAAACCTTGAGTGAGTCTGGTTTCTTCACGGCTCCGCAAGCACACAGGTTAGCATCGCGGTAACGGACCAGAGCCCTGGCAGGCGCGCTGGGCGCCTTTGCCAAATGCGTGGGAAGCAGGTGTGCGGAACGGCCAGTATTAGACGGAGCGCGCGCGCACGTCCTCCGAGAGCCTGAGCTCGACACAGGAAAGAACTCGTTCAAGCGGTGGAAGAACGAAGGCAAGGCGGGCGCGGGAAATCTTGGAAGACAGGACGCGAAACTAGGCGTACAAGCCGAGGCGGCGCCCGCGATGCAATCAAAGGATGCAATCAAAGTCAACCGCGGCAGGGTAGAGGCCAAGCAAAGTTGGCACGGTGCGGCGCGCAAGGCCAGGCGCGTTGTAATAAAATGCGGCCTCGGGGCGGCAGCGCCTTACCCAGCCCGCTGGACTTTTTTTTCCGGGCCACTTGTTTTCTACCCGGATGATTAACGATTCATTCTCCCGGTGGCAAATATCAAATTCTTATTTGGGCCCTCCTCTCCCTTCCAACTAGATATTCTTGTAATGGACACCCAAATCACTGCCCTACACTTTCTTCCAAGCGCCATAATGAAACATGAAGCACGAAATGATTGGCAAGGCATCATGTGCCCCCTCACCCTCCAAATGATGTTGCCATCCATTGCTTGAATCGTGCAATTTGCTGCTAATTATTCGTTCGGGCGCCGAGTGAATCAATCCAAAACAAGCCTTAGAATGGGCCGGTTGCCTCAAGCATATGCGCGCTAGCTGCAATTGCAACTCCCCCCCGCAACAAATCGTGCAGACCTCTGCCGTTAAATCCGCAAGCAGCGGGCCCTGCGTCCGTGCAAAAAGCTTGAGTGAGACATGAGCTCCATGCGCATTGGCGCAATCCATCGCGACAAGGGAAACAACAAACATGCGTAAGGCGCTGTCATGGGTTGACGGGCCCATAAAACCAAGAAGCTACCGCCCAGTTCCTGAAAGTCGGAATCCAAGTGCACATTGCCCGCCGGCAAGCCTCAGTCCAAATCTTGTGAGGGGCACCTAGTACCAAGCCAAAAAGCAAGCTCCGTAATGCGGCTTCCGGGTGTCAACACAAGTTCGACGGGCAATCCTCGGAACGTGTTCCCTAGCAGCATAAACGTTGTCCGGCTTTCTCAGGACACCGTGCGCCAGCCCTGAAAGTTAACACACAACACAACTACATAACCGCGTGGTCCACGTGGGCATTCCTATGTACACCTCCGCAACCATGGTAAAAGCTGCCCAGCAAGGTGCCATAGAAGCTGGACGAAGTAAACAGCGAGCCCCTCAAAACAAAACAAAGCCCCGCTGTTTAAAAACAAAAAAAAGCGATTCCCTCCTCAAACCGCATTGCGTAACGCTCTCGCATCATAATGCGTCAATTGGGTTTGCTGTCACCAAGTCGCCCAGCACACGAGCGATTGTGGCTGCAGTGGTTTTCTGTACCTCGGCGTAACACAAACGCGCCTAAAAGGCAAAAAGAGGGATTGGTCGCAAAGCTGGTGTCCTACAAAGCCAAAACACATACCCGCTTTCCAACACTTGGGAATCTGCACAACACCCAAAGAAAGACTTCCGAGCACACAGTCCACTATCGCGTGGCCCGAGGGTGAACTAGGCGAAGGAGTGGACGTACGGGTGGGCGAGTACGCCTGCACGTGGACGTACAAGTGGACGAGCAGGCGTGCAAGTGGATGTACGAGTGGACGAGTAGGCGTACGAGTGGACGTACGAGTAGACAAGCGGACGCGCGAGTGGACGAGTGGACGCGCGATCGGGCGGGCGACTAGATGTGCGAGTAGGCGCAATGTGTCATATGTTCTCATATGTGATCATTTCTAAGCAAAATTTGTCATAGTTCATCAACACACCTGATCATTCTTTACCGGAAAAAACTCACTAGAACCACGGGTGGGCCGAAAGCATAATGGAAATTGACCAAAGACAAGCAAATCAAGCCGACATGCGGGGATGCCAGTGGAGTGGATGAGGGGATGCCCATGTCTCGGCCCATGCCCTTGTTTCACGGTGTCATATGGATGCTTGTTGTCTCAGTAGTTTGAACAATATTTGACTTGACATTCGAGTCATGGCACTTGCCAGAAAGGAAGCATTGAATTGACCAGCGCGGGTGGGCGGGCGTGTGCGGGTGCGTGGGTGCGTGCGTGCCTGCGCGAATGCGTAAACGCGTGCGCGTGCGCGCGCGAGTGTGTGTGTGTGTGTGTGGGGTGTGTGGGGTGTGTGTGTGGGGTGTGTGTGTGTGTGGGGTGTGTGTGTGTGGTGTGTGTGTGGTGTGTGTGTGGGGTGTGTGTGTGTGGGGTGTGTGTGTGTGGTGTGTGTGTGTGTGGTGTGTGTGTGTGTGGGGTGTGTGTGTGGGGTGTGTGTGTGTGGGGTGTGTGTGTGTGGGGTGTGTGTGTGTGGGGTGTGTGTGTGTGTGGGGTGTGTGTGTGGTGTGTGTGTGTGGTGTGTGTGTGTGGGGTGTGTGTGTGGGGTGTGTGTGTTGGGTGTGTGGGTGTGTGGGTGTGTGGGTGTGTGGGTGTGTGGGTGTGTGGGTGTGTGGGTGTGTGGGTGTGTGGGTGTGTGGGTGTGTGGGTGCGTGGGTGCGTGGGTGCGTGGGTGCGTGCGTGCGTGCGTGCGTGCGTGCGTGCGTGCGTGCGTGCGTGCGTGCGTGCGTGCGTGCGTGCGTGCGTGCGTGCGTGCGTGCGTGCGTGCGTGCGTGCGTGCGTGCGTGCGTGCGTGCGTGCGTGCGTGCGTGCGTGCGTGCGTGCGTGCGTGCGTGCGTGCGTGCGTGCGTGCGTGCGTGCGTGCGTGTGTGTGTGTGTGTGTGTGTGTGTGTGTGTGTGTGTGTGTGTGTGTGTGTGTGTGTGTGTGTGTGTGTGTGTGTGTGTGTGTGTGTGTGTGTGTGTGTGTGTGTGTGTGTGTGTGTGTGTGTGTGTGTGTGTGTGTGTGTGTGTGTGTGTGTGTGTGTGTGTGTGTGTGTGTGTGTGTGTGTGTGTGTGTGTGTGTGTGTGTGTGTGTGTGTGTGTGTGTGTGTGTGTGTGTGTGTGTGTGTGTGTGTGTGTGTGTGTGTGTGTGTGTGTGTGTGTGTGTGTGTGTGTGTGTGTGTGTGTGTGTGTGTGTGTGTGTGCATGTGCGTGCGTGCGTGCGTGCGTGCGTGCGTGCGTGCGTGCGTGGGTGGGTGGGTGGGTGGGTGGGTGGGTGGGTGGGTGGGTGGGTGGGTGGGTGTGTGTGTGTGTGTCTGTCTGTGTGTGCGTGTGTGCCTTTTGCATGCAACACCCAGCTGCCGCATGTCTCAACTCTTGCCACGGCAAGTCAAAGCAAATAAAGCCGACATGTGTGTGTGTGTGTCACACTTGCGCACGTGTGTGCGTGTGTGCTACCGCGGGTATCTGCAAATTTCGCGCTTCTGTGACTGATAAGCTTCGGTGCTGCGAGCTCTGCGCGCTTGGCGCGTGCGTGTGCGTGTGTGCTAGCGCGGCTTGCGCGCCTGCATGTGCGTGTGCGCTAGCGCGGATATCTGAAAAGTTTGCCCTTCTGTGACTTATAAGCTTTGGTGTTGCGAGCTCTGTGCACTTGCGCGCGTGCAAAGTTTGCCCCTCTGTGGCTGACAAGCTTCGGTGTTGCGAGCTCTGTGCAAGTGTGGCTCTGCGCAAGTGCTCGGCTCAAGTGTTCAGCGCAAGTTGCTCTGCGGGCGCAAGTGCTCTAAGCAAGTTGCGACGCGCAAGCGCTACGCAAAAGTATGCTGCGCAAGCTCGGGACAAGTTTCTATGAGCAAGTTCTCCGAGCAAGTTCTCTGCGCGCAGAGCTGACCGCAATATGGCAACCTTTCGATTTGAGCCGGAGCAACGAATGCACTCTTTGTGAGCCACTTTCGCGCTGCTGACTTTCTAACTTAAAGGCTGCGGAGACCAAGCAGGATTCGAGCCCGGGGCCGGTCACTGCCAAGACCAGGCGCGTAACCACAAGACAAACTCTCAAGCCCGCGTTCCGACTTGAAAAAGTATCATTTTACTAGCATTTCGTTCGATCCACCTAAAAAGTCCTCAGTTTTTGCACATCGACCACGCCAATCCCCGCAGAAATCTTAAAAAGTCCTCAGTTTTTGGACATCGACCAAGCCAATCCCCGCAGAGGGTCGCGCGGGCAAATCAGAAATCGTAAAAAATCCTCAGCTATTGGACCTCGACCACGCCAATCCCCGCAGAGGGTCGCGCGGGCAAATCAGAAATCGTAAAAACAAGTCCTCAGTTTTCGGACATCGACCACGCCAATCCCGGCAGAGGGTGTCATTTTTGCAGGGTGGGTTCGGCCCCACCGCGCCGCCTTAAGAGACTAACTAACTACTTTCCTGTCCAAATGTCTCGTGCAAGTTTGGCTGTGTGATATCTCGTGCAAGTTGTTCTCGCGCAAGTTGGCTCGTGCAAGTTGGCTGGCGCAAGTTGACTCATGCAAGTTGGCTCGTGCAAGTTGGCTCGCGCAAGTTGGCTCGTCTAAGTTGGCTGTGCAAGTTGGCTCGAGCAAGTTGGCTCGCGCAAGTTGGCTCGCGCAAGTTGCTTCGTGTAAGTTGGCTTTTGTAAGTTTGGCTGTGCGATAAGGCTGGCGCAAGTTGGCTCGTGCAAGTTTAGCTGTGTGAGAAGGCTGGCGGTTTTACCGGAAGAACCCTTCGCAATGCTTTCGGGCGTACCACAATTTGCCACAATTCATCATACGTTTATCGCAGCCAGCCATGGTTCATCCTGCTTCATCATGTTGTCATAGTTTATCATGACGCATCACGATTCATCATAGGCTATCATAGTTCATCAAAGTTCATTATCACAGCTTCTTATAACTGGTAATATCTTATGAAAGGTCATCATCATGGCTTAGGATAGTTTTCAATCTATCGCAGCTTAACATGGTAAATATAGTTCACCATAGCTCCTCATCATTGCTTATCATAGTTCATCATCATAGCTTATCATAATTTATCATAGCTCACCATAGTTCATCATCGCGGCTTAGCCATCATCATGCCTTCTCATTCTTCATCATAGTTAGTCATAGTTTGTCACAGTTCATCACAGTTCCTCTTCGTAGCTTGTCATAGTTGGTCAAAACTTACCATACTTTGGCATTGTCCATGGTAGTTTTTCGTAGCTCATCATCATGGCTTATCATCAGTTGTCATGATGTGTCGTAGTTCATTACCATAGCTTATCATGGTCTATCATAATTTAGCATAGTCTTCGACCATTTGTCACAGTTTAAGCTTTTTGCAATGATTTATCATACGTCATCAACGCCATGATTGCATGTTCTCAAAACGATTTGAGAGGTCAGTGACTGGCTGGTGAGTTGCCAAGTACATGGGAGTTGGGTAGGGGGAAGGGGGGGTGTTACACCTCACTACAAAAAAAAGCTTTTCTGGATACATTGAAACATCAAGAACCATATTTCCACCCACTCGCACACCCAGTCGCACACTCCTCCGCCCGCTCGCGCTCTCACTCGTCCACTCGCGCGTCCACTCGTACACTCACTCCGTCCACTCGCACGCCCGCCCGTGCGCGTGTGCACGTACGGTTTTAAGGTTGATTTTCGGACAAATAGGTCTTATGTTCCCGAAAATCGGCGTTACAATCGTACGGGTCAAAATCTGTGCGAGTGTACGGGCGGTCGGGCGAGTGGATATACGAGCGCACGAGAGTGGACGTACGAGTGAACGAACGAATGTGCGACAGATAAAGGATTCCACACTCACAGAAATAACGCCGATTGTTGCAAAATAAGCATCATGTTCCAAAAACTTGGCCTTATGTCTGCACGTGTGGACTTGCGCAAGTCCGTATGTCCTGAACAAGCGTTTCGCCATTTTTCACGGGGTCATTCTGCTCAGGACCACGAAAACCGCGTTTCACGGCCATGGCCTTTTTCACAGCCACTGCCTGCGCCGTACGTTTTTTCACGGTTCACGGCCATTCACACGTTTTTCACGGCCTTTCACGCTTGTTTCACGGCCAGTTCGCGCTTGTTCACTGCCATTCGTGGGCGCTGCTGCGGTTTTACGGCCATAGCCTTTTTCGCGGCCGTTTGCCGAAACGACCAGCGACCCCAGGCAATGTAGCCAACTGGTTCTCCAGGGTACAGGCACCAGGTCGATATCGAAAACATGGGCCCTCTTAATTACAACTGTGCGTGCGAGTGGACGTACGAGTGGACGAGCGAGTGTACGAGCGGAAGTACGAGTGCGCGGGAGGGGGAGTCGGCGAGTTGGTACGCGCTGGATTGGGACTCCACACGTGCAGCAATAAGGCCAAGTTTGAAATTTCGGCCTTGTTCTGCACCACTTGCGCAGAAATAAAACCAACTCCTGAAAAAAAGCCTACTTGCCACCGCCTACAGCTTGGGCGGCGAGGTTTGGCACGATGCATCAATGCACTGTTAGGATCTGTTTGTTGTTTCGCCTTACGCTCTCAATGTTTTGTAGGGCGCAACCGTGTGTTGGTTGTTGTTGGTTGGGGGGCGGGGTCAGCTCCCGGACCAGACTTGAATTTGCGCTGACAAGCGCCGCTTTTCCTGCGCGAGTTGCTCGCGCGAGACAGTTACAAGACTCGTACGACTGCCACGGCCAGAATCGTCCCAGCATTTCTTGCCCCGCAAGACAATGCCTCCCCCCCTACGCACTCCTGCTTTCACTCGTGCGTACTTCGTTGATGACATCACTTCACGGAACATGTCCAACCTGTCCAACTTGTTGCAACTTACAACTTAAAGCTTGCCAACTTGTTGACTAACATTATATAGGAACTTTTCCTGGATTTAGACAGCACCTTTTCTGTATTGATAAGACCACATGGCCAACTCGCACGTCTGCCACATCCACTCGTACGCCTACTCGTCCACTCGTACGTCCACTCGTACGCACTCGTCCACTTGTACGTCCACTCGTATGCCCGCTCGTCCACTCCTACGCCCACTCATCTATACTCGTGTGTCCACGCGTGCGCCTACTCGTCCACTCGTACGTCCACTCGCACTCGTACGCCCGCTCGTCTACACACGTGCGTCCACTCGTACGCCTACTCGTCCACTCGTACATACACTCGTACGCCTACTCGCCCACGCGTACGTCCACTCGTCAAACCCGCGTGTGGACGTCTAATTGGCCCTTAAAAACCCCGATTGCGAAGTTTAGAACCCAGCTAAGCTATCGTGCAACATGCTGTGCTACTGCCTTCGGGTTTCTTGTATGATAGATCCAAAACGCCGGACGGCGGCGACTGACTCATGTCTTGAGCTTAGTTCTGTGTCTAGATAGTTCATGGTCTGATGTGTTTCGGTTTGCCACGCTGCCGGGGACTGAGGGGGCGAGCCTGCGCTCTCCGCTGCCTCGCTACGCAGCACAGGTGGATCCGGGAGCCTCGGCAAACGGGGGGGGAGGGGAAGCACGGCTTTGGGCGATTGTTTTGGCCTCAATAAGGCTTCGCCTGTTTTCGTTCAGGCTGACAGCTCACAATGGAAGTGCACCCTTTTAACAACTGCCCTGGTAAAAAAGACTTCTGTGCCATGTCGGTTGCCAGGAAGGCCTGACGGTGCGACAACTCAGGAGGCGTCACCCGAATTTGGGAAACACCGCAAAGGCCAAACGGGAAAGGTCAACCTTACCATCTCCAAGGCTTTGAAGTTCCTTAGTAGAGGTGAGCCAGTTTTGCGAAACCCAAGCTTCTGGCAACCTTAGCTTGGTGCGCGGACGAGCCCTAGCCTCGCACGACTCCCAGTAAACCTGCATGGAATTGGACAAAGCAGTCGCGCGACATGACCGCACAACCATTCGTAGCACAGCCTCATAACATAACCATTTCAACTTTGTCAACCTGTAGCGACCCTTGCGATGCACCTGATCACATCATATACACACAGCCAAACCTTTAAGATACGAGAAGAAGCACTGACGACCTGGACACATCGGATCATTGCTGAAGTTGGCCAACCACATGCCAGGAGATTGTGGGGGTGTCTGTGTGGATGATTTTCATCGTGTGTGCGTGTGTGCGCCTGCGCGTGTTTGTGCGTGTGTGACTCTACTCGTGCGGGGGTTTGCGAATATGGTATAGTTTGCACCGGGTTTGTATTTGCATTTGTGCGGTTTGGGTTGCGCGCGCGTGTCTCTGAATAGATTTGTTCGTGTTCGGGAGATTTTGTGTGTAGATGTTTGCAGTGTTTCTGTGATAGAGTGTGATTGATTGAACCTGGGTGCAAAACTGTCTCACTTCTGAGGAGTTTGCGCGCGTGCGCTTGCGTAACTTTGCGCGTGTCCTTCCGTGCTTCTGTCCGTGCGTGCGTGCGTGCGCCTGTGCCTCTGCGCCTGCGTGCGCCTGCGTGCATATGCGTGGATGCGTGGAAAAGTGTGTGTGTGTGTGTGTGTGCGTGGGGTTGTTGACCGCGTGCGCGCGTGCGTACATGGGTGGGTGCGTGGTAGCGTGGTTGTCAAGAGACGGCAAGGTGACGTCCCGTGGGACGCTATGCACCGAACCCTCAAGCTGTAATACCAACCACGTAGAAAGGTGTATACGGACGATGCCGTTATAGCCGAACCCGTGTAAACGTTGTAAGGGAGAAGGAATGATAGTTACAACAGTGGTCCTGACAAATGCAGCGCAAGCAGTTGTTTTCGCTCTTAATGCCGATCACGTAGGTATGCAGTCACACATCAGATCTTGAACCTCAATTGTGTCTTGAGCCAAATGGCGATCAATGGAACTTGGGAAGCAACACCAACAAGGACCTCAGAACAGCTACCCAATTTCGGCACGGGGCCTGGAGGGTTTTAACATCCCCCATTTGGGTCGCATTGTTCATCATGCGGTCCAAACACCACAAAACGTTCCACTGGCCACGGCTTCAACTACGAAATCGTGTCGTGCATTCTTTTACTTGCTATCACTACACCGTTCATTCGCTGTGAAACATGCCGGGTTCGATTGTACGAAAAGTGAAACATTCATCCTCCAATCGAAGCACACATCCATATGCAGGTGTATATAATACACTGTGGCCACTTCACTTGACCGCCAGTGAACATTCCAGCTGCCGCATTTGCGCATCGCGCAGCTGTCATCCATAAATGGGTTGGCCACAAAAGTCCACCAGACGCGCCCGCTTGTGATCGGTCTGCATATCTCCGGCAAAGAAACATCGGTGAGTAATCAATGCAAATCATAGCCATTCCAGATACCATGGACAATGCATAAATAATGAAAAGATATCATCTATAAGGTAATAGTTCCATCCATGAATATCCAGAGCGTCATAGTCATCGGAATATGTAACCATGTACACATCCATTCAACTTGGATATATGAAATCATATCATAATGTAAAGTCGTTCCACGCAATGGTGTTGATGAGACGCAAGCAACAGATGGGGACTAACCCACATCGTGCCGCAATCAGCATCTTCACTACGCATACCGGTCCCCAATGGACAGTCTGTGAGTGCGTCGACGGAACTCCTCGTCCAAGTTCTTCTGGGCTTCTCGTGCCCGGACACACTTCTTGTTGTAGTCCTCTGGCAACCAGTGCCCTTTCCGAAGGCACCAATCCAGCAGGGGTGTGTCGCATTTGTTCGGGTCGACGGCCGAGATGATGGCGCTCACGTTGACCGTGTAACCATGTTTGCCAAGGTTCAGGCCATCCCTCACGAATGATATATACTTACAGTTGAAAGCTAGTGCAAAACATCTGAAAATAATATCACCCACCGGGTGCACTCGGTCCTTGACCAGGAGCTTCATTTCTTCCTTGGTGACATCGAGGATTCTCGCTGCAATCCACAGCTTGTAGAATGTGTAAAGTCCCTCGCATTTGTTCACCATCATACGAATATATTCGTCACGCTCCTCAACCGATCGGAAGGCTCTTGTCCGAACATTCTCCGACTGAGAAATCTTCGTTATTGTTGATGGCAAAAGTATACCTTCCTGATCGTGCTCAGTGATGTTGGGGTACCTCTTGAAATCATTGTGGTAAGGGCAGCCCTCTCTCCCCTCGAGCTTGGCATTCATCGTTCTCTCCTCACCACCCTCGAACATCCCCCACATCTTGGACATCTGGAGTGCGATAAATCCTGCCATGTACTGAGCCTCACGCGGCTCGTCAAGGCAGATCGCCATCCGTTGGGAACTTATAATGTCCCGTGACGCCAGGTCGGTGTCGCGGTAATGCCAACCGCTGTCTTCTTCTTCTGACGCATAGCCGGATGTATATCCTTGTGTGTCCATGTCGTCATCATCTCCCGGAACTTCCTCCGCTTCGTCTTCATCCTCCTGTGCTGCCGCATCGTGGTTAGCTTCTTCCTGTGCACGCCTGGCATCTCCAGAGACGTTGGGGTTTTGGTTGTCCTCCTCGTCATCGGATTTGATGTGAATGTAGTATCTTCCGATGGAGATCAGTTGTGCTTCGCATTCCAGGCATAAGCAGAAGCAGGTGGGGATCGCGGTCGCACATGATGGACATATCCGGCACCTCAGTCCTTCCCATGTCTCGTCATTCAGGATGACGACTTTGCTGATTTCGTCCCGGACCTCGTTGACCTGTGCATTGAACTCTTCCATCTTGTTGATTCGATAGAGTTCGCAGGCACGATTAACCATGTCAACGATGTAGTGCAGATTATCGGCACCTGTCTCAGTCTCCGGCATCCTCTCGCTGATCTTTGCGACGTTCTGGAGGAACATCGCAGCCGACTCTTGGGAAGAGTTGACAAAGCCAGGGCAGATCTCGTTCTCCACACACTTCGAGTACGCCCTCTTGATGTCAGCGTACTCCAGGCGCTTCCCTCCGTTGCTTTTGCCAATCCAAATGGACTTGACCTCATAGAACGGGATCACGTCAAAGACCATGAAAGTCCCATTAGCCGCGACTCCAGCCCCATACCGCGCGAGGGTTGCACTGGGAATATAGATGATCGCAATCGGATCCCCTCTCCTCACGTTCCGTAGCGTTGTCTTCGTCGCCACGTTCATCTCATCCCATGGAGCAAACGCCCCGAAGTGCAGTGCTAGCCTGTTGCCGCCATCGATTCCGCCGGGGACTAACCCACAGCGTACGATGCTTGGCAGGTTTTCCACATACGTCACATGGAATGCTCCTCCGAGAGAATCACCCATTCTTGCGGAATACCTATTCGCCAGTGCGGATGAGCTCATGAATCCAAAATCACTGTGACCGGTTGTGACTCGGATGCACCAAGGTCTGTACCATCCATCGCATCTGTTGAACATCCTGTCGATGTCGTCCCGATCCACGCCAGCTTCGGTCATTTCCTCCCTGGCTGCCCTCGTGTCGTTCGGGTTCATGATGCTCGGAAACCTTGCTGCCAAAACCTGGAATCTCGATTTTCTGCTTCCGGATTCCTGCCACTTGATCACCTCCATGATGCCCATGTATCGTTTCGCTCTCGTGGTGTATGGTGGGAATATGTCGTTGTTCCGGTCGTCAATGACAGCATCAATGTCGACCCATCCACCCTCGTCGCACCTGAAAGCACTTCCTCGGCAATTGCCGATCTTGTGTCGAAGGACTCTGCATAGGTCGTGAGATAGCTGGTTTGCTTGGTCCCTTGTAGTAAATACCGAGCGATCATCACCAATCCTGCATAGTGGAGCACCGTCAAAAGGAGCAATGCAGAAGTTGACACTCTTGCCAAGCTGCATCACGTCCACTTGCTCAAGGATTGCACCTTTGGGAAAGTACTTGGGGTCAACGATGGACGCATACGCCCATGGCAAGTGCACATCACTCACATCGCCATACTTCGGGATGTAGCACGGGATGGTGTCGCATCCCATCTCAAGCGTCTTCTTGAATGTCCTGTTGTCCCCGCACGGGTTGTAGGTGAGGTCGACGCCACCACATTGTAGCTCTCCTCCCTCAGCCGTGTCAGCCATCTCCACCAAATTAATAGTGTAGCTGTACATCTCAATTGTTTCTTTCCCTGCTTGTCCCCCTTTCTTTCTTTCCTTGGACGTTGATGAGGACGGTTCCTCCGTATCCCCCATGTCTTCATCAGATGAAACAGGGTCACTGCTGAGTAGCTCACGGAGCACCTTCATCGCCTTCTCATTTCCAGCAGCCTCCTCAATGTCCTTGCAGTCGCCGTCGTGGGCCAGGTTCGCGCACTTCTTACAGATCCCCATATCTCCCATGCACTTCTCCATTGACTCCAGGAATCCTAGTGCCGCTCTCCGCCCGTCGATCACTCGCTGCTTCTTGTCTTCCTTCTCAGTATTGGTTTGAGAACTTCGACTCGGGTCTGGTGCTTGACCAAGACCCTCATCTTCGCCCTCCGTGGCCTTTCTCTTGGAACCTTGTGCAGAGGGCTCGGTGATCAGGGATCGTGGATGTCTGGGCTTGACCTTG